CCGCCCCGCCGCCGCCGGATGCGTCCGATTGCCGCGTCGCCCGCCGCGGCGTCTCACCCCCAGACCACAGCGATGGCTGGACGGCCGGCGGCGCGTCAGACCCGTCCGCACCCCCCCTGCCCCCTCCGCCCCCTCCGCCCCAGCCGCCGCCGCCTCTCGCCTCCGCGCCCCCCGCCCCCGCCCCCTCCTCCTTGCCGCCTCCTTGCTCCGCGCCCTGGTCGGGCAAACCTCCGCCGCGCTGCAGCGCGGCGCACTCGACGATGAGCACGAGCTGCCTGCGTCACGACGGTCGCCGAGGTCAGTGAGGGAGTGCGTTATGGGCGCGCCGCTGCCGCGGCGCGGAAGGCGGTCGTGCGCAGAGTCTGCAGAGCAGCGCGTGAGCTACGAGGAGCTGCGGCTGCGAGTACAGTGAGGTCCCGCGGGAGAGAGAGAGAGAGAGAGAGAGAGAGAGAGAGAGAGAGAGAGAGAGAGAGAGAGAGAGAGAGAGAGAGAGAGAGCGAGTTGAGAGAGATAGAGAGAGAGAGAGAGAGAGGAGACGCGTCGACGTCGCGCCCTCTCGAGCGCCGGCGGGAGAGCCACCGACGCGTGCTCCCGCTTCGGGGGCTCGTGAGAGGGGGGAGGGATGCGGAAGAGAGGGGGAGAGGAGCGGAGGATCTAGAGCACGAGGCGCCGCTTGCGAACGACGGCGGCGAGCGCCTCCGAGAGGGCCTAGAGGCAGCAGCGCTTTGGACGGTGGGAGTCGAGCTGTGCAGAGAAGGTCGTGGAGAGGGGGGGCGGGACGGGGGGCGGCGTATGGACGGATCGACAAGGGCAAGCACCGGCCCAGTGCAGTGAGAGGACGGTACTGTGCGCGAGTACGAGGGGTGCGAATGTGGGAGGAAGGCGGCGGGCGGCGAGGGGGGGGGGGGGGGGCGACAATGCTTAGTGGCCGCGCGTCCGCTGTGAGTTCCCCCTCCCTGGGGGCAGGGGATCCCCTACCCCACCCTGGAGTCGAACCCTGAGGAGGTTGCGATCTCGGGAGATTGCAATCTCGGAGCGGGCGGCGAGGCGCCTCCCAGTCGATGGAGAGGTAGCCCTCGTCCGCGTCCAGCGTCAGCAGCGTCTCCGGCGGCAGGATCGGCCGCAGCGACTCCGCGAACGACGCGGCGGACCGCCATGCGCCGGCGGCCAGCAGGAGCGGCTCGGCGTTTGGCGTGCCGAGCACGCACAGCACGTCGAGCGGGTCGGTGCCGGAGGGCGCCGAGAAGAGCCACGCGTCGCGGAAGAGGAGGGCCGACGCCTGCCAGCGCTGCCGGTTGAGCCGCGCGACCGCCTGCTTGACCGCCCGGATCTGCTTCAGCGACGACCCCGCGCCGATGAGGAGCTCGCAGCGGCGCGACGCCTCGAGGCGAGGGACGGGAAGGTGCGCTTCGCCACACACACGAGGTGGCGGGGCAAGGGCCAGGCTAGTCCCTCGCGACTCCACGTCTAGACGACAGCACGGCAGTGCAAGGCCCAGTGCGCGTGGGTGAGCGGTGTGTGAGTGGTGGTGGTGGTGTGTGTGTGTGTGTGTGTGTGTGTGTGTGTGTGTGTGTGTGTGTGTGTGTGTGTGTGTGTGTGTGTGTGTGTGTGTGTGTGTGTGTGTGTGTGTGTGTGTGTGTGTGTGTGTGAGTGGAGTTGTGTGTGTGTGTGTGTGTGAGTGTGTGTGTGTGTGTGTGTGTGTGTGTGTGTGAGTGGTGTTGTGTGTGTGTGTGTGTGAATGTGTAAGGGGTGTTGTGTGTGTGTGTGTGTGTGTT